AACATATCATGTCTGTTAGTGATATTTTCATGGAAATATTCATCCCAACCTTCTTCAAACGATCGATCACCGATCACGACAGGCTATTTATAGATTCCATGTCTGAGAATGATTGTATTGCTCTGATGCTGATTAAGTAATAGTTTGAATTCAGCAAGTAGAATCTGTGTTTTAGGAGAGAAGAATAGGAAATGTTGAATGAACTTATATGATTGTACTGTATATCTTTAACATGTATTTTCCATCACATGAAAGAAAGAATTGTACCTCTCCTCTGCGATTGCATTTCAGCAGAAAACAATAGGCCATCGAGCTGCTGTTTGGTAATTCATAGGTAGATAAACCTTCTGCCATTGATCTGATTGGAAAAGTTAATAAAAAAAAGTGTCAAAGATGTAATTATATGTAGCCAAAGAAAAGTGCCAAACGTTAGGAATAACTCAGGGAAAGAAGCAGGAAAGTTAGCTTGTTGTTGTGCTTTGTCTGGGATGGATGATCTATTCAAGTAGTAGTTATATATAAAGAACGGACGTTTGATATTTTTTTTTAATAAATTTTTTTATAGTTAGTCTGGCTCTCATTTTTCATAGGTAAGCGGATTAATGATTTGTCATATCTGTCTTCCCTAAATTTATTGAAGCTTGAACAAAGGAAAAAGCTGTCTTCCTTAAATTTATTGAAGTTTTAACAACCACACATTTTAAGGATAATAGATTCCCGAGTATAAGCTGTTGGGCGGAGTAAGTGCAGGTCATAATAGTAGGTGTGGTATTCAATAAGAGAGCTGTGTATAGGGGAAGACTTGAATAGGTTCTGAGAAAGGAATTATGCAATATTGATGTATAACAAATAGTGCATCCATCAAGAAGTCAATTACAAACTGAATAGAGCAAAAGGCGAATTAAAAGGATGCTGTAACAAGTACATAACAGTTGTAAAGCATCAATCCAGATACATAGTGGTTGCTGATTGCAGTTTATCAGCAAAGTTAAAAGCTGCCAAATCAAAAGGAGTTTAAGGGGTATCGATGGACAAAATGACATCTTTCATTAATACATCAATGACCCTTCTAACAATGTATAAGCAACCTTGCAAAAAAAACAAACGATAGCATGTTAGCCATAGAATCTAAGAAGTAGACGGATGTAAAACTCAACAGCAACAAGTTAGTTTAGTTTTTGCTTCTTGCTAGAGCTGCAATCTGCATTTTCATCGTCATCTAGTTCAATGCTTTGAGGTTCATCAAACCTTTCAAATAGGCGAACACAAATCTTTGAACGAGCACTATTTTCTCCTACGAGCAAAATTTTTTGATATGTCATATTATTCATTTGTAGTAAAAGATAAGCATAGAATAAAAACTAGCCAGTTGCTATTTACCTGGAGTCCCCAGTTGTGTAGTGTTAGATTCTTTGCCAGGAAAAAGGAGAGACATCTTTTGTTTGACTTGTTAACTGGACAGAATCACCATTATCATCAATTTCAGAGTAGTATATATTTGTGCAACACTGCCTTGCATCAGCCAGTTGTGTTTGCACAGGTTTGATGTGAAGTAGAAACGTTTTTGATTGAAGCTCCTTATGGACAAACTCGAGTGGAAGTTCAACATTCTATTAAGAGAACGAAAGTAAGAGTAAAAATTGTATAATACCTTCAGCACTAAGATTTATAGGTATGAACCTCATTAAAATGTTGCATTGCTTCTAGTGTATTAAATGTCAATAGCTTCTCTGCTAATTTGCCAAATACTGAAGCTGGTATCACACCAGTGCTATCAGTCAAATCGATATCAAAGCAGCATCTGAAAATAGGCACACAATATGCAGGAATTTATTTTTTGATTGGATCAGTATCAGATAACGACGAACAGAAATCAATATAGAAAAGATATAATATTTAGTACCTAGGCACTGCAGGATGTTTCTCTTTGCATGAGTTACAGGTAAACACAACTTCATAGTCTGCTGCTGTAGCTCGGCAACAGTTTTTACAGTTCATGTACCAATATTTCTGGAAGATGTGTTCAAAAGAGATCTGTGCCTTCACCCATATAGTCTAAAAGACGAGCAAGCATGAGTATAAAAAGATGATCATAAAAAAAATGATCATAAACGAGAAAAGTATGGAAAGGAAGGCAACATTATACACTCCCAAACCTTTTGCGATGAAGTTATGTTACAAATCCAAGTCATTTTTTGGTCTAATTTTAATGACAGCTCTGGATTATATTTAATATAGTCTTTTTTTTCGACAATCTCTTTAATCAACCTAGTGCTCCTCAATGCCCTGGGTGGAAGGAGGCATAAAAAAAGTTAGAATTGGAAGACAGAACAACATTTAAAGCTAAACTGTGTAGAGAATGATGATTGAAAATTTATTGTACCGGTTCTTAAGTTCTCTTGCTTCTTGTATAGACGGATCAACAAGAATCGCCGAATCAAACCAAGCACCAAGTGTGACTCCTATATGATGAAAAAGAATGGAGAAAGATTTGTAGGTGTTGTAGGCAAATATGAAAGGATAAACGTTAAAAGTGTTAAAAATCAAAATGAGAATAGACCATTATAGTTATGCACTTTGACTCTGCGAGCAATGATCACAGGATAGTTGTGAAGTTTAGATAGTATTTCTTATCCCTCATTAGCCAGGAAACTATCTCATAGAGACAATAGCACTGTCTGTGATCTGTATTTGTGATAAGAGATAACAGTCACAGGTTGGAAAAAATGACTGCAGAGGAAAAGAAGGAGAGGCAGTGTGAAGTTTAGCTAAACTGAAGATTAAAGTCCTTACTCTTCATTAAGCAGGACAAATTTCTGAACATCTGATTACCTTGAGTTTTTGACAACTGTTTTCCTCTCAAGTGCACAAATCACGACTCCTAGCACATCTATGAATAACAGAGAGAAGGCAATTATAAAAAACTTGGTTCAGAATGTAAACATATCAAGAGTAAAGCATTGAAAGACTCACCCACTAATTTAGTTTTGTCGTCCATGTAATGAACTCAATCAGTAAAGTTTAAATAGCAGAATTTCACAGGCATGACTTCATCATCATTAGCAACTTCATCAATGACAGTTTTGCTACTGATCATCCATTGAACGATAAGGTCAGATGTCTGAAACTTTGGCTGTATAGGTCTAACCTCAGCATTGGAGATTCTATACTTTTTATAAACCTGCAAGATCTGACTCATTCTAGGAATGTCATCATTGAAGATGATTCCTTCGACTCTTGATCCCTGATTAAAGAGGTGAAATTAATACAGGATTAAGAGAGCAAAAGAAGAGTGCACTTAAATGATTACATCTAAAACTGAGCAGTAGTTTTGACTAACCTCTGAATCATAGAAAACAAACTTCTGTTTTCTTGTTGGCATTTCCATTGAGCTTGTGACCTGCTGCCTTTCCTGAACAATGATAATGCAGCTCCAATTTTTCATGTGAGGCATAATATCTCGCATTGGCAGCAAGTTAGCCATCCTATAAACACATAAGTTTATGCATAAATGAATAGGAAGTAAAAGATCCAACAAGACAGTAATCTAAGAATAAGAATGCCATTTTGGTCATTGTCAGACGACTGAAGAGGTATCCTTGGAATAAAAACTCTTTTCCCTCGATGATGCCCAAAAACAATCTCGGCAGAGATCGTGTGCTGTCCGAGATCTCTGCATATTAACTTCGTTCCATTGCATAGACCTTCAACTGGATTTAAATTTCTTAGAAGCATTAGCGGACAATTTTCTTTCAACAACAACTTATGAGGAGGAAAACCTTTAGGATTTTGAGAATTGAGGAAGTCCTCATAATCACCTTGGTGCCGCTGATCAACAACAGTCTTGTCTGAGCTAATATAAGTTTGAAAGTTTCCAGGAAATTTCCTAATCATTATTTTATTGAGTTTGTCAACTGAGCTATTTTTAGGAGCAAGAATGCACCTATTTATCAGGTTATAAGGATCCTGCGAGTAGAGGTTCAAATCTGGAAAGACGGTTTCTAATAACCTGTGTATAAGAAGATTCATTCATAATGGAGGTACAAGGAATAAGAATAAAAACGAAAAGAATTTGATTATATGTAACTAGCTAACCTATTTAAAGACTCCTCTTTATCGTAATAAGGAATAACTATATCTGGTGATAAAGTTATTTGACCCTGATTATCGACAGGTTCCCTTCCCTCTCCTACTCTTAAAAGGAATTGTGAAAATCTTGGATCAAACATAGCTCGCATGTTTTCTGTGAGGTTGATTTTGTGTAGTTTATGCCACAGAGGAGAGATGGGGAAGGTCAACTCTATGAGAACCTTTTTAGTCACTTGCTCAATGACAAGTAGAGTCTGTTGGAAATCGTCGCCGAAAACTACTATCTTTACTCCAAAAAGTAAATCTGAATCCATTAAATCTTTTAGCAATTCGTCAAATGCTTCAATTGTTTCTCGCTTAGCCATTGAAGCTTCATCCCACAAAATAAGTGTAGATTGAGAAAGGAGTTTTGCAGCAGAGCTTTGTTTACTAAGCTGACAACTCTTAGTTTTCGAGAAATCAAGTGATATCTTGAATCTCGAGTGAGCTGTCCTTCCACTGGGAAGGATTGATGCTGCAATTCCAGATGTTGCTACTGCAATCGCAACATGGTTTTGCTATCGTAAAGTGGCAAGAAGTGTCCGATAAAGGAATGTTTTACCGGTGCCGCCGGGGCCATCAATGAAAAAAGCTTGCCCTTTTAAGGAAAAACATGCTTTTAGGATCAGATCATAGGCATGTTTTTGCTCAGAATTCAACTTCTGAGCCAACAACAGATCCTCAGGTGCTACTGCTAAGTTTGTTTCACTTTCAATCTCCTTTGTTAACCTTTTAGGGTAACAACTCGAAAAATCATCGGAGACAAAGTGAAAATCAGCAATGCTTTTGCCCATTTGTTCGAGTGAGCTGTTAAGCAGGACCTTTGTTCTAATTTTAGGAGAAGAAAGTCCAGTGGACAGTTGCTGGTGCTACTAGTCAGCAGAGAGTTCGAGTTCAACTTTTTTCCAAAGCGACCTAGGATCTGTTGGAGAACAATAGACAAGGAGAGTGGCAAACAATAACCTTAACGAGGACGGCATTTGAAACGCAATTGCCTCCTGAAGAGTGTCCTCTATGTATGCATCAGAATACAAAAGTCTGAGAGCCAAAGCGACCTCTCTAAACGAAGCTAATTTTTGTCCATTAATAGTCAAAAGGTCTTCAAAAAAGGTCGGTCCAGCAATGTTGGTTAAAAGCAACATCAAATAATACCTTTCTCCTTCTCTTGGACTAACAGTCACCATCCTACCAATCACCTTTTGACGTTTCTTTCAGTCCACTCTTTATATTTAGTAGACCAAACAAAATGTTCAGGGAATTCTCTATAGAAGCATTTCAGGTTTTGGGCTTTTTGGTTTGTTCTGTTCATGTGGAAAGACTGAGTTAACATTGTTTTAGAAAAATCAATTTTACTCAGTAATTGCAACAACTCAGAATTCTTATCAAAGGAAACAAACTGCTGGTCTGGAAGGTGAACTTGAAGAATGTAAACTGCTGGAGTCATTTCATTGAGCCTAAATTCATAAATACGCCAAAAAGCTTCTGGAGGCGAAACCCATCTACCTTTCTGGAAATCTTTTATTTCATCAATATCATCAGCTGATTCACAAGAAACAATCTTAAAGCTCACCAGATCATGTCCTTTGAAAACATACTTATACAAGTAGTTCACGAGCTTAAGAGTACAACAGATTTCCACATTGATGTGGCAATCAAATAAAGCAAGCAGGAAAGGGTTATAAGGGACAACCCACCTATTATCAAGAGTAAATCGGCGAACTCTGACTCTCTTGCCATCATCTCTTCTCTTATAATATGGATAAGTATCCTCACCATGAGTCGTTTGAGCACAAAAGTTTTTTGGATAGCAATTTTTGTAGACTCCATCTCTCATGCAAGGGCAAGATTTATCCATGTCTCCACAAGGGCCATGGATCATATGTTTTACAACAAGAGCATATAAGTGAGGATATTGATCTTTGTTGGCCAACTCAGCACAAACCACTTTATCGTATGAGTCCGGATTAAGTAGCTTATGACCAGGTTTTAAGATCAATAATAAATGGGCATGAGGAAAGCCTCCCTTTTGAAACTCGATCACATAAGCACATGCAGCAACTTCACCAAAGATCTGCTTATTCAGAATTTCTGTTTTAAGTATTTCAAATTTGGCTCTAAAAACTCTAGCTAGAAGGTCTGGCCGATCTTGAGGTTTTTCATGGTATTTCAAATTCTCTTGAATCTCCTTCCACGCTGGATTACACGTCATTGTAAGGAAAATGTCCGATTTTCCATATTTTTGCACCAGTGTCATTGCATCAAGGTAATGGCGCCTCATATCCCTTGGACCGCCTATAAAGGAAGCTAGCAAAAGGATCTTACGACCAACCTTAGAAGTAGCAGTTTGGCCAATAGAAATACTGTCAAGAACTCCTTGCAGAATTTCAAACCGTATTTTCTTTTGTCAATGTCTATGGAAGTCGAGCCTAGATGTTTCTATCTTGACATAACCATCAACCGAAAACTGCTGTAGCAATCTAAGAGTGTGCAACAACATCGACTCATCATTGTCCCTTATTTGAAACCTATAATAGTAGTACTCCCTAGTTGACATAGTATCTTTCTCTGATTTTTCTCGATCAGCAGCTATAAAGAAGGGAAATATTTTGTACATGATTAGGCGATATAATGCAATGGCTAGATTTAGTAGTTTATAGCAAGGGAGGAATGTACTCGCCTCTCTGTTCTAAATCAATTAACTCTGATGAGGAGTTAATTGAAGCTATTAATATCATCCTCACAGGCTTCCCCTCATCTTTTCCTCTTGAGAAGTCTTTTAATTCCATGGTGCCAGCCACACTCACCACGAGGGAAAAATAGAGGGTACTGTAAAGGGTCATAACAGTCATAGTAATGTTAAATCCTATGGCTACCAGCTGAACGAGAATAAACCTGAATGTTAGTGTGTCTATCAGACGACTGATCTTCACTTTCAGTCCATATAGCTGCGACTTGCGAGGTAGAGGGAAGATTATATACGCACTGGTCAGGCGAAGGGTAGCAATTAAGGACAATGTTCAGATTGTCAATGTTTGGAACGTCTCTAAGGCTTTTAAAGAATCAAGCATAAGGATTATTAGAAAGAATGTGCATAAGGAATCTTAAAGTGCTTTCGCGCAGTTTCTCAGAGTTATCAAACCTCTTTGCTAATTCTTCATCAATGTCAAAGAAATCTAATTGGATTCCAGATGGTTTATCGCCTAAGTGAACAAGGCCATTAAGAAAGTGGTAAACCTGACCTTGAACACGGAAGGTATAAACACCTTTTGTGTTCTTTGTTAATTCAGAGTCATACTTCGCAGCAAAGGATGTAAAGCCAAGGTTGTTGTTATAAGTATGAACATGGGTTCTGAAATGAGCACTTTCTTCATTGTTGTCAATGAATAGGCATTTCAAATCATAAGGCATTAGAGGAGCAACGATAGATATTTCCCCCTTCCTGAGCAGCAAAAGGTAGGAGGTTCCAAATGGAACCTTTTTGCTCCATAATGCTCACAATCAGGAGCATCAGGCAGAACCAGAGATGTGTCAGGAATATTGGCAAGCCGAGATATGCCTGAACGCGGAGTTGCTTGTTTCATTGCTGCAATTTTATTGTGCACAAGAACGATTTGATTAACTCTGATTGGTCATCTAGGTAAATCAGAATCTAAGTTAATCAATGGCTAAGTCGGATCAGAAACAAATTCCAACCTGATCTCTGTTTGATCACAGATTGAGGAGAACTGCATTTTTTACTACGAGGCCGACTAATAGATGGATTAGTAGAAGGGGTGACTTTTCTGCTAGCCATCTCCAAAGAACCAGATGCTAGCTCACACCTGGCTAGCTCCTCTTCGCGAAGAGGAAAGACGGCTGCGAATTGTAGAATTGAATAAGCTATCTAAAATAGGCCAGAGCCTTTTAAAGGTACACAGGTAACAAAGGTCGAAGGTGTTCAGAAACCAGACTATAAAGATGAGTGTTCATTATTTATAGCCTGGTCAAAGCAGCTCAGTAATTCTGCGAACATAATGAATAGGCTAAGGTAAGGCAGTACCTGTGCAAGGAGGTGGTAAAGCAGGATCTAAAATTTTAGCAAACAAAGAATTGCTTTTAGAAGCAAGCTCTCTTTGGCCTGATTGTTCAGAGTTGGTAAGGGTGGAATTCAAAGAAAATGAGCCTAGTATTAACTTCAGAGTGTTCAGTGTTTATCAAGTGTTCATTTTCAGGTGAAAGGGACAATGGGTTCTTATGTTTTCCTTTAGCTGATGCATCACTGAGCTAGAAATTAGTAGAATGAATGGGAATTTTTTTGGGTCCGCATTAGCAGGCGACCTTTGATATTTAGCTGGTACAAGGCTATTACGGAATGGAAGCTCTGCAATTATGAACAAAGGTATACGTAATTTGAGAGATACAAGGGAAAGAACGTCAAATAAAAAAGACGAATAAGGTTAAATGACGTTAAATAGCGGGAGCTAAACAGACCAAGGAAGTGGACGTTAAGCAACGCTGATATACCTTGAGGAGGAGGTGTAATCTACACAGGAATTTCTCTGCCAAAGAAAGAAGAAGCATACTACTAAAGGGACTAGGCAGAGGGTGCAACATGAACTCTAAGACTTCTCCAATCGCAGAGGCATTGTCAGTGGGAAGAACAACATCTGTGGTTCCCAACGGCTAAGAATGCACAGAAGCTGGATCCTCACCATGACATGGCATGCGATGAGTATTTGGGAACGACACATCAGATTCCATATAGCCTAACGGAACCTTGCGAACGCGCGCAGCTAAAGTTTTTTCAGCTTTCTTTGCTTCTCTAGATTCTCTTCAATAGCGCAAAAGTTCCGCTTTCTTCAGAGGTGGCATTTCTGAGTATTTTTTGCGCCGCATAGCATTCTTATCCATCTGATGACTACATACTTTAGCAGGGAAAAGAAAGTCTAACATACACTTCTAATGCACCTCTATAAGGCCGACAAAATAAGCACAAAGGAGGCAAAAGTTCAAGGAAAATTGTAACACAAAGAAATGGCATAACAGAGTCATGAGGCATGCATCAAACGACTCTGCTCCAAAAAGAAACAGAGGAAAGAAAAGGTAAAGCACAGGTCTTACACAGAACCATGAAACCAAGCAGATAAGCATAAAGCAGGCAAAAGGCTGAACAAACCTTGTAACATAAAAGAATGCTTTAACAAAAGCATGGAACAAACGTTTATTGGCCAGGAACAAGCTAACAGGTAAAGCAAAAAAGGTAAGCATATGTAGAAGGGAGGATAAGCGATGTCACCTTAACCTTAGATGTAACAAGCCTCTATTAGCCAATAGTAGAGCAGCAGAAAAGAGGACAGACCTGCTTCTGTACCCAATAAAACAACGAGAGGGAAAAAGGTTAAGAATATACAATGGCAAAGAGTAAATGTGCTATAAAAGGCAGCACAGAACAAAGGGGAAAAAATAGAAGGAAATCAAGAGGAAAAGGGTAAAAATTATCAAACAGAAGGTGGGGAAAGCTAACCTGTACGCACTAAGAATTGCAAAACAAAAGGGGAAAAAAAAATAGGGAAGTAAGAACCATTGACAGGAGGGAAATGGAACACAAAGTTGAAGGACTGTGGGAAGGAATGCAAAGGTAAAAAAAAAGAAAAAAGAAGATGCAAGAATAAGGCGTAAAGCAAGCAAACAGCCAATGGAACAGTAACAGCTAATCAGGCCATAAGATTTAGGGTAAAAAACCAAATAAACATGACAGTGTAGACAACAGACTCACCAGGAGTTAAGAGTAAACAATAACAACGGAATTAAAGTCGACAGAACAAGGTAGCAAGACAGCAACTTTGAGAAAGAAAATAGGAAGAGGGAAAAAAGAAACGCAATTAAAAGGCAGCAGATAGAAGCAAGCAGTTAGAGAGGAAGAAAAGAAAAATGAAAATGAGGCATAGTTACCGCGGACCATGATGAGGATATCTGGAAAAGGCGGCACCACAAGCATAGAAACCTCTGCATACATCGGAGAAACAAAGAGGTTTCAATCCTTTGAATCAAAGGGAAAGAGCAAAAAGTCGATTTTTGGCAGCTCTCTAGAGCAGAGCTGAAACTTCTTCTCACAAGAGAACGAAAACAAGAAAGAAGCTCAGTAGCATACAATAGTGCAGTTGATTTTAAAAGAAGGGCAAAATCGTAAAATCATGCAAAAGTACATTGAGCCCATCGCCTAACACTTGTCATCAATCAAACCATCACCAACCCTCATAAACTTACTCAGTTGGTCATCTGTTGACCAGAGAAATGGTCGCTAGAAACAACTTTAATCATCAAAAAAACCAAAGGACCAAAGGTCCTCATTCTCGGACAAACGACAACAAAAATCCCACTTCGTCTCCTACGGAAAGCACGCGGCTTGCACGTGAATGATGACCACCCTCCAGCCAATAAAACACAGTCACATCAGCACAACAACCACTATTCTGAACAAATCCATTCGTACTTTTACTATATAAGTAGAAGACCGGTTCACGATTGGATCAATCGAACCGACCAATTCGATCCGATCCAAGTCTTACAACATTGGTCCACATTGATGGATTATTCTCTTTCCCTTGGCTCTTCCAATTATGTACGGGTGACTCGATTTTGCACCATAGATGAATCCCACTATTACCGTGAATCCCACTGTTATGCCTTAGACATTTCTCCGAAACATTATCACACGTAAGCGTAGTGATGATGTGGCCCAATCATATGAGTCTGGAAATCTCATTAGTAACACTCAAAAGAATGTAATAAAATTGTTCCAGATAAGATTCACCTCCCAAATCCCACCTTCGGCATCTAGTTCGCCTCTCCCTCTTTTGACCTTTTCCATTTTTTTGGGGTTTTAAATTAAGGAAAATTGTCGTATTTCATCTCATCTCAAAGAGCATCTACTGAACAACGGAGATTTGATTATTTGGGTTTCACAAATTAAGCAAATTAACATCACCTGATCTTTCTACTGGCCAATTTGGCGTATTACAGTGATTTGGTCGTTGAATTGTGATCAGGATGATAATGGCTTCAACCACAGCTTTGAATTCAGGCTGTAATGTAGGAGGAGCTGTTGTGAATCGCAATCCCTTATTTTTGAGGCCACCATCGTCGACGTTAGTCAAACAGAGTAGGAGAAGAAGTCCGAAGCTCAGGTTTACAGTCAGAGCGAGTGAAACTCATGCTGATGGGCCTACGAAGAAATTGGGATTGTCTGACGCTGAATGTGAAGCAGCTGTAGTAGCCGGAACTGTGCCGGAGGCGCCC